GTGGTCATTCTCTTCAAGGTGCCGGCCCAGGCGTGGCTCACTGAGAACGCGGCGAGAGAGTGACTCCTGAGCACGTGGAACCCGGAGAAATTGTGTAAATGATGGAGCCGCGCCTGCACAGAGAAAGGGCTCAGCGTCTCGGAGGGGTGGCTCGCACGTGACACACGCGTCCTCAGCACACGAAGAGGTCAGGTCAACATACAGCGAAACTGATGTGAAGACACCCCGTCCCCTACACCCCTAAGGAAGCCAGAGATGCGTGTGTTCTAGAACAGACATGGGGAGCAGAGGGGAACGCCCTGCGAGCTGAGGGGCAACTGCCTCACAGGCTCGGGGTCACACCACCCACCGGACCGATGGGGAACCTCGGCGGTGGCAAAGGCCATGAAGCCAGGAGGACACTCCTGAAGGGCTGCTTTTTCTTGAATGAGGGTTTGATGCTCCGCGGATGTGTCTGTTAGGGGTGCCAAAGAATGACAACCCCCAGCACATAAAATAGTAAATACCAAAAGATATAAGTAGTACCAAATCCACATAAGTAGGGGGAGACCTACCCTATGAAGAATATAGCTTTTCTCCTTAATGTTAAATAAACCAAAAAACCCCCCCAAAACTAACAACAAAACATTTCTCACAGGTGCTCAAAATTCCAGGGCTGGGGTTCTTTGATGCTGGAGTATTTGCCTTGCTCACTGTGAGGGGAGTCACTGGGGTTCCTGCCAAGCCGAGCTGGCACGTTGGCCCTCAGGGCTGGCCTGGGGGGGGGGGCGGTGCTGCCTGAGGCCGTGTGAACAGGAGACAGCAGCATGGCTGGACGTCCCAGCCGCCATCTGGACACCACACTTTAAAGGAAGCAGCACTGCCATTTGTCTCTGCCTGTTGGACGTCACACCTCCGGGCTCATCTCTGGAGCCCGCAGCCTCACACGTCTCTGTTTGTTCCCGGGTGGGGGACACGCAGCTGCAGGTCCCGGGCAAAAACAGGCACCAAGCTCTCCCGTCCGCAGGCCGGCTCCTGGAGATGGTGGGCCAGACCAAAGCCAACGTCCACTTTCCAGTAACGGGGCTCCGCGTAGAAAAGGCCCGGCCACAGCCTCCCAGGACGAGCCTGGTGCTCTGTCACTGCGCCCAGCTCCACGCGGCCCTCCAAGCCCCTCCAACCGCTTCATCCTTGAAAACCGACTGTCTGCCCGCTTCGTGGGCTGAGCTAGCTCACGCCTGTCTCACCCCCCTTCCCCTCCGCTGAGGCTGCCCAGCCGGGCTCTCGGGGCAGCAGCCCCCCAGGTGGCTGGCACACCAGCCTGTCCCCCCTCCCGGCGCCAGGACGCCTTCCGGAGGCCGGACATGCGCTCGGCTCTGCCGGGCAGAAGCCCCTGTGACCCCACATCCCCGGGGGGCGCGGCCTGTGTTCCCTTCTCCCCTCAGCCCGCCGAGACTCCCTGAAATGGCTCAGCGTGGCCCCTGGCGCCAGAGCCTCGTCCTCGCTGTTTCGGGGTCACGTCTCTGTTCGGCGCCCCTGGGCCTCCCCTCTCTCTGTGGCTACAGTCTTCCCACCTTCTTTGTTGTCGCACGTTATGCGTTTGGTGGCCAGGCTGCCGAGTGTCCTCCCCGGGCCCTGTCCTCCTCTCGTCTCACGTGGCGGACAGCCTCTCCCCACAGGACAATCCGAACACAGACTCCAGGTTCAGACGCGACGCGGGGAGAGGAGCCCGAGGAGGCGCTGGGGCCCCGGGGTCAGCCCGCCCCCCGCTGGCACAGCCCGGCCCCCAGCCCTCCGGCCCCGGAGGCCCCGGCGCTCGGCCTCCCCCGTCACTGCCCGGCTGCGTCCGCAGCATGCCCCCCGGGACCCCGTTCTCAAACATCGTGGGACCCTTCAGGCTTCCCAGCAGAACGTTCTACACAGAAGGAAACAAAATACTTATTTTCTGATTAATTATGTCTGTTTATGACGCAACTTCCATCCAAGCCAGAGAAATCAGAATTATCAACTATCATAGGGAAGCAAAGCAGACAAGGCTGGAAACGCAGGGATGGGGTCCCAGCCAGATGGGCCCCGCCCCGAGCGCAGCGAGCGCAGCTGTCTGCAAGGCGCCCAGGGGCAGGTGCTGGGGACGCACGTCCAGGGGCCGGAGCCGCCTGCGCCCCGCGGTCCGCGCTGCAGGCCGGCCGGGCTCCAGGCCTTCGGGCCCTCAGGTGGAGCAAGGCCGTGCCCCGCCCCACGCGCGCCCGCGGGGATGGCCGGAACCTCACACGAGCGCGGGTCTGGGCACGCCCCCCCCAGGTCACAGCGGCCTCCTTCCCACGGGCGCCGTGAGGACCGGTGTCCGCAGCAGCAGCCCCGGGCGACCGGCCAGCGGGGTCAGCGAGGCTGGCGGAGAAGCCACGTGGCTCGGGAGGCGCCTCCGCCCAGCGGGTGTCCCCGCCCAGAGGACCCCGGACACCCCTGTCGCCTCTTCCCTGCGAGGCCAGCAGCCCTCCTCCTCCCTCGTCACCGAGTCAGCGACACGTCTGGCTCAAGGGCCGTACGACGTGAACAGTGAGGGCGCGACGCTCCTGGGGACGAGAGCGTGTGCTCAGCCGCGCGCGTCGCTTGCGGTTCCATGTCCCGCCTGTGCCGCCGGCCTCACAAACCACAGGCCCTGGCGCAGGCGCAGTTCAATGACTGGCTTTCTGGCGCTGAACACAAAACACTCTTACTTAAAGGTAATCAAAGGCTGTGTCAGAAGAACCCCGCATTCATCCCGGGTCTTACTGGGGTGAATTTAGGGTCTGATCTTGGACCGAGTGTCAATAGCCCCACATTAACTGACAGGGACACCACATCACCCACGGTGCCCAGGAAGCCGGCGGACCGGCCGCATGCGGGTCGAGGCACGCGGAAGCGAGTGGCTTCGTGTCGTTGCAACCTCAGGGTGGCCGCAGAGGAACCGCCGCCACGCCCTACGCGGCGTGACCCGCGCCTGGCCCGGAGCGGGGCGGCCCCAGCAGGGATGGGCCTGTGCAGGTTGTCGGACAAGGTGAGCCGCCGGAAGCCCGTTTCTGCAGCGGGCCCGTACCTGGGCACTGTCACCTGCAGGAAGCCACCCCGGCTCTCTGTCCCCAGGCAGCCTGTCCTGAGCTCCACAGAGGGGCCGTGCACGGGAGAGGCGCCCGACTGGCGATGGGCTGACACCTGGCTTCTGGTGCCGGCCCCAGCGCCGTGTGTCTCGCGGGGGCGCCGGTCCTCTGCGCTGGGAGAGGCTCTGGACATTGGCTCTGGTCTCTCATGAGTGACCGGGTGGGGCCGACTCCGTGCTGGGGTACGGGTCCCTCAGCCCTCGCTCGTGGCTTCCGGCCCAGTGGCTCTTTTCAGCTCCGGTGACCCTTTCCTGTCTGTAGCAGTGAAGAGGACACATGCACCTGAGCGGATGAGCGGACGAACACACGGGCGCGGTCCCCCGCCCCCGACCTGGAGCTCAGTTCCAGCTGCCAAGCTGCTGCTGCGGCCCGGCCCGCTCGGTGCGTTACCAACGAGCGCCACCACGCGGCTCTCCAGGGAAAGTGCAGCCCCAGGGCTGACGGGTCTCAGCAGCAGCTGCTCTGACACCCCGGGTTTATTCCTAACTGCGGCTCCCTAACACGAGTCACCGCTGGTGTCCTACCAGTCACCGGTACGGAGCTTGGGACCTGACGGCCTGCACTTCCACTGACAACCCCTTCCCTGGAGGGTCGCAGACGGCAGAGCCCCACTGTGACGGGTGTGGGACAGACAACATGCTCTGCCCACCGAAGTTCCAAGTCAGAGTTCAAAAAGCACCTCTTAGCTGCAGCCAGGGCGAGGGACAGCTGTGACAGGAAGAGGAGGACTTGGGCAGCAGCTCCTTTACCTGGAACTCTGCAGTGACTGAGACCGGGCTGGGGAGGGCTGTGCAGATGGTTCCCGGGCAGCTCACTTCAGACAAGAACAGCCTTGGAACCTGCACGGAGTGTCACCTGTGGACAGAGTGAATCCAAATTCTTTCTTTCTCTGGTGGAACAGAAAGGTCTGGAACACTCACTCGGGCAGTGTCAGGAGCCGGCCTCCGGCCCACAGGAGACACCGGACGTCTCCCTTTCGCCTTTCATGGGCTGCAGCCTCTCAACTCTGTACTAATCTCGCCCACAATGGGCCACCTGGCCCTGGGTCTTCCTCTTCTAGCTGCAGTGGGCTCTGCTTCCCACAATCTCAATTCCAAAGGCTAAAGAATTGCTTTGGCCAACTGTTTTCTAGAACTCTCTCAAGAGGCTGGCCAGCCTCTGGATGGGCTTCCCAGCAGGTGTGCACCACTAGTCCAGCCGCCATGGCCAGAGGGTCATGGTTGGACCGGAGTGCTCACTGACCACTGGGTTGGAGGTAACTGACAGGGACATGGGCGAGGCGGGCTGCCAAGTTTAGGGCAGATCCACACACCGACGTGGGCTCGCAGCATAGTAACTGCTCATTCAGAATCGTCTGGAGAAAGCAGTCCCATATGTATGTGCTCCCATCTTGTTCTTTTCCTAATTACTGTCTTTTGTAGAACTGAGCAGACCCTGCTCAGGACAGTGGAGCACGGCTTTGCCTAGAGGCTGGGGGGGAGGCCCTACTTACCTGGGTGCATGCAACCACAGCAGGGTCCCTGGCATGTGGCATGCTCAGCACATGCTGATAAGCTGAAATGGACACGGACGTGCCTCGTTCAAATGGTTCCCCTTCAGGTAACGACTGGCACAGAACAAGTTGGGTCCTCCATAACCTTGGGACACCTGGTCTCACCCACACACCTCCCGTTTATTAGATGGGCCAAATGAAAAGGTGTTTTTTTTTAAAACTTTATTGGGGAACATTGTGTTTTTTCAGGACCCATCAGCTCCAAGTCAAGTTGTTGTCCTTCAATATTAGTTGTGGAGGGCGCAGCTCAGCTCCAAGTCCAGTTGCCATTTTCAATCTAGTTGCGGGGGTGCAGCCCACCAACTCATGTGGGAGTCAAACCAGCAACCTTGTTAACAGCACGTGCTCTAACCAACTGAGCCACCCGGCCGCCCTGAAAATACTTTTTTATTGGCCTAAGGCTTGTCATTTAATGTGCTCAGTACAGCCAGGAAGGACATCTTTTCTTTCGAGAAAAATGACAAAAGGTAAATGTAGAAGACATGGCAAGAACATCATTGCTTTATATCCACCAGCACTGGTTCAGGCAAGATTTCCCAATGGACGCTAAAACATGGAAGAAAGGCTAGTGGGAAAATGTATTCACAAGGGTTCAAAGTAACTTCCCACATCAGTTATTAATTACAAATAAATGTACTTATGATGAAAAAATCTGGTCCTATCCACCTTAATAGCCAAGGAATCAAGCTTCACATCACCAGAAAGGGAAGAGCTTAACAAAACCTGCCCCCTGGAGCGATGCACCGAGGGGACGCCTCCTCTGGACAGTGTGCAATGGGGCAAGGGGACCAGAGCTGCTGCAGCCCTTTGGTTACCGCAAGGGACTCGCCTGAGGGTCACCCTGACGACTCAGGAAGAGCAAGTCAGCAGCCTGCAGAGAACTGGACCTGGAATCCTGATCAAACACCTGGGACCCGCCCCGCCTCTGGATTTCCAGTTTACACGCTGTAAAGTCTATTCAACACAGGATTTCTTGAGTCGTTAAGTGTTTTCACAGGACTGCTTTACTTGTGGATTTCTTCGCTAAATGCATTAACATTTGATTCTTCTCACTAAAAGTCCACATCCTCAGCAGAGCCGTGTGTGTGAGCCCGATCGTTTCGATCCACTTGTTCTTTTCGGGGCTGGTGTGAGCCACCAAGTTCTCTGTGTACTGCAGGATGGACTTTAAGAACCTGTTAAAAAATTAACTTCTTTATCTAGGCCGCTACAAAATGCAACGATGATTTCAATGTTGTCTCTGCATTTTAACATTACAACTAATGTACTGGACTTGATTTTTGTCTGTGAATTCAAGAAAAATCAGCACATACAAAATGGAAACAGAATACAAATTAGGTAATGGGGAAAAATGCTGAATGTCAATGTTATTGAAGAGGTGGATGGACTCCCCATTTCATACACTTAAGTGCCTTTTTATACCTACTCTCAAATCCAGACAAGACGTTTCTGTGTGACAGAACTTAATTCCAGAAAGGATCTTAAGGCTGTCTGGATTAAGCCGACATGTAATAAACATGTTATGTGCGGTGACGCATGGGCCAGCCTTCCACCTGTGCAGGAATCCTGCGGACAGCATGCCTTCCATTTCCACCCTGGCCCTCAGCGTCCATCCTCCAGAACAGGGGGTCTACGCCACACAGTGGACACACTCCACTTTGAGACAGCTTGGTGTTAAAAGTTTTTCCTTAAAGAAACTTATCAAAATGTTCACAGAGGGTGACGGGGATGTCATTTTTACATTTTCGAAGTTCTCCACAAAGTTTCCCAAGTAGTGTAAAATTTTCTCCAACTTTTAACTTCTGAAAATTTCCAAACTTAGAGAAAAGTTAAAAGAATAGTACAATGAAGATCCACAGATCCTTTGTGAAGAGAATGGTTCTTAACTGGGAGTGATTCTGTGCTTTGGGGGATATTTGGAGACATCTAAACCATTCTTGGTTGTCACACTGGGAGTGTTATTGGTATCTAGTAGGTAAAAGCCAGGGATGCTCCAAACATTCTACAGTGCGCAGGACAGCCCCACTACAAG